GTTTCTACAAAAAGTGTGCAAGTTAGTAGATGAAACAGAATTTCAGCATTACAAAGACCTAAAAAACATGAAGTATGAGAGAATCAAGAAGGTATGTAAGAAATAAGTTTCAGGAAGGATGAAATAAGAATAAACAAAACTAAGATTTTGGTGCCCCAGGCAGAACTCTACAAAATGGCACCAATGGGACAAGTTTAGGGTCCGATCCTAGCGTCTATTTACAACTACTTAACAACGGATATACTAGCCCTAAAAGCTTAATTGTAGACCTTTGTACTTTGTGATTACCTTTCCAGAGATAGATACAACATACATCAGATAAAATATGAAAGGTAATACTTGGTATGGGAGAAAAAAATACATTAGAGTGGGGCTTTTCTGTCACCTATTATGAAAGACAATATTCATCATTACATAATGGCACTTCACTTCTTCAACTTCCTCAACTATCTCAAACACAGCAGAGAACTGGGAGGAAGTTATAAAAAAAAAGTCTCTAAATAACAAAAATAAATGTCACAAAGGTCAGGCACTATAACTTATAGACTAATGCACAGGAAAGTCCCTTTAGTCCTAGGTCAGAGCCTATTTACTCATGGACACTATTCTAGGAATTGTCATGATCTGTTTTTCAGTAAAATAGAGATGTGAGGCTGCCATCTCAAAAGGGTAAGGGGAGTGTGTGCCATTTTATTAGTCACAGGCACACTACAGTAGGAGGAGGAAAAAGCTGGCACTGAGAAAAAAACAGCAAAGCCATAAACACAAAATAAATGTACCCAGAAAGGCATCACTAGGGGACCATTTGTCCCCAAAGTAAATGACTCCACAGGCCACAAAAGTCCTTGAGGAGAAGCACACATACAATAAAGGATGTTCATAGGCTAACTCTAACAGAGGCATATTCCGAATCTATACTCAAAATGTTCAAGAAAATAAGAAGAGTAAGCAGCAGGTTTCAGGTATATGGTTAAAACAAAATCACTCACCAGGGACACAGAGAGGTGAGGCCTTACTCCATCAGCAACTCTGTGATTGGTGTTTACTTGAGCTAAATGCAATAGATAAAGTATGCTTTGTATTATTTTGTTTTTTGAAGTATACGATTCCTTCTGCTACCACTCATAAACACCATCCCAGAACTTAACTCACTGCACAGTAGGCATTCTCTGCTAAAATGAGTGCACACAGGTATTAGTAATTTTTCCCACAGTCATACTGGAAGTATAGGCCAGAAGCCTACCGAAGTCAACGTTCTTATTTTTTATCTCCTCTAACTTACACCTGGAGATCATGGATTTATGTTTGACTTCAGCATTAAAAGTCAGGTTAAGAATGAAGGATGCAAGGACAAGTTATAAAATACTGGAAGATAAAACTGTTGTCACAGTACAGTGGCAAGAACTGCAATATGGTATTAAGCCAAAAACTGGCTAACTAATATTGGGGTAAATGATACTGATCTCTCAAAACTGATTTTGAAGGACTTCCATATGTTCTGGTCTAAATCCAAATACCTAGCATTGGCTATAGCAATCACTTTCTGCCTCTTGAGACAGCAAGTTAATACTGAAGCAGGCCTGAGGATCGGACAGAATCAACACCATTTGAGGCTTAGGAATATTCAAGGAAAAAGAGAATCTTAGGGGAGGGGTGCTTGAAAGTAGGAATGAGCTCCATAGTCTCAATTGATCAATTTGGCCATTTCACACTTAGCATTTAGAAAACCTTTCCTAAAATGATGTAATGCAAGAACTGGGCCAGTGACATTTCTACGTGGCATCCTCAGGAGGTTTTGTACTTCCAGAATCGAAAATCATCAAAATTGAGAAGAGCAATGGGGCAATCAAATATTAATCATAACCCAATATGAGGGCAAAAAATACCCACAAGAGGGAATGAAGTATTTGAAAGTCAAAAAAGAAAAAGAAAAAAGAAAAAGTTCCAGCAAATCTGTTCACATTCCAGGGGGAACTTCTTTAGCACCTACCTGTTATTCCTCTAATCTTAGGAGACTTGAAGCATAATCAACCTGAGCATGTGCAGGAAAATAGCTCTATATTGCCCCCTAGTGATGGCCAGTCCCACTTCTTCTTAGGCTAAAAAACACAAGGTGAGTAGTTCCTCTACCTCTAGTTACTTCCTGCAGCCAACCCTCCCAAGAGCTAAACATAGCCCAATCCTCTGCCCACAGATTAGGAAACAACTGGGCTATTTTTAGCATCATGCATCTTAGGAATGGAAATGGCCCAGCCTCTGATGGCAACAGAATGTGTGTGGCCTGGCTCAATGAACTCACCTCTCTGGTCTATGTGAACCTATTCAATCAAGTGGCCAATGGCCACATGAGCACTCTGGGGCCCACTATAAAATGATGATGGTGTGTGGATCACAGAAAGCATGACAAGGAAAGGACAAAGAGAGGCACAGGTAGCTCAGACTAAAGAATATGACAGATGCCAGGACAGGCTTTAAGACAGAGCAGTGGGGAAAATGATAAAGCACAGGAATAAAAAAAAATGGAATACACAAGCCAGCAATATTGTGCATTGTCATTTTGGAAAAGCTTGTCTAGTAAGAAGCAGTATTTTGAACTGGACATTTATTTTATAAGAGAAAGAACAAAGGTTGGTCTGATCTGTTTCCTGCCAGGGTACAGCTGGTGCTGTGGCTCCTTTGATCCCTTTCCTCCAGTCCTCTGCAGCTCCTGTGATTAGAGATAGATCCTTAGGCTGCCCTTTGATCAGCAGCTCAAGCAGCCTGCAGGTGCCATGTGCCATCACACTAGCAAGTTGTTTAAGAAACAGCCACAGTAATATTGACTGATAAATGTGATACCATGTATCACTGCACATAAAACAAATACAAATAATCTTAGAAAAGACCCAGGGATCCCTACTTTATCTATTTTTGTACTCTAGAACCCTCTGTGCTTTCTTAAAAAGGAACACTTCAGAGAGTTTCAATTCAAAGTTGAAGCTTTGAAACACCCTAATACATTGAGACATAAGTTGCTATGACTTAAAAATACAGTACACCCCATAGTGATTTTCTAGGTGTGCTGTTTGTGTTCATTTCGCCTGGTTAATGAAATGACAGCATTCCTGCGTTGTGAACAGATGCCATACAAAGCAGTAAAAACATGTACATTTCTTTTCAAATAACATTACAAGTCACCACTTGTAAACAGAGTGTTTAATATTCTAATTTTAGACAGCCTACATTAACATCGTGGTTTCATGTGCAGTATAAAATTTCTATTTACAAAGTATTCTCAAAAATGACTTCATAATGGTAGATCAAGAGAAAAAGAGTTTAGAAATTGAATGATGTAAATCATATGGGGTTCAGAGGCTAAGCAAATTACACACCCTGACGCTGCCCTGCCTTTATGAAAGGGGCCTTTCTCCAGTTCTGTGCAATCCCAGCCCAAGGGACTTGCATCTGAGAGTTTTCTAAACATTTCAGGTACACTTGAAAGCTGAAAGTAATTCTCATTTCCTATGCAGGATTAAGTCGTTTCCAGCACACACAAAATAGTAGTCATTCACCAACACATAAAAACACACCACCAGAAAGGTAAGGATTTCAGAGTACAAAGGCACATTTTAAGAAAAACAGAGCGCAAGAAAAACATATTTTTTAATTCCCCCTAAAAGTGTCCACACAGCCTCTTGACCTCTATATTTCCTATCTACTTACTGATTAATTGATGTCCTTCTACTTAGAATGCGTCAATTAATGCGGCTGACACATTTCCTGAAACACTCCCTCTCCCCAATAAAAAAAAAAAAAAATGAGTAAAGTCAAACATGCCAAGACTCATTCATCTTGGATTCGTTTTTAGAGGCAGTTCTTGAACTTATAACTCTGGCAGCGAGAGGTCCTGCACTGTGAATTGGAACTGACGCTCACGATCGCTCCCATAATGTCCTCTCCCTAGCTGAGGCTGCAGTGCCACTCACGTTGCCCTGGTAGAGCTTTGAGGCAGCTCCCGAAGTTGCAAACTGCACGTAACCTCCAAAAGTCCATGCCCACGAACGCAGCGCGCATTTGCATGGATAGAGAGACGATTATACCCTCGCAGGCCCGTGTACATCCCACACCAGTGCACAATGCCAACGTGACACGCACAGCGAGAAACAAGAAGGGGAGACGAGGGGAAAGACTCACCGTTCTGTTCCTTGTTGCTGGAGAACTGGAATTTACTACTCAGGTTGGACTCAGCCTGAGTCCCGTATCTCTGGCCGCCCAGGGCAGATGTCAGCAGGAGAAGCCCGAAGAGGAGCATTTGGCTGACTGGGGCGAGAACTCACTCACGGCGGGCACTTTGGAAGCAACGACTCCCGAGTCTCTTTCACCACCGCCAGGGGAAGGCTGCACTGGGGTGGAAGCGCCGAGCCTGCTCTGGCAGCAGAGAATCGCAGGGTAGTTTCCACATAATCCCATCCAAAACTTTTTCCTAGAGCCCTCTTCTGTGTCTCCAGTTTTTGAAAAGGATCAAAGCAAAACCTGGACCTGAACCAGTTTCCCAAGGTTTAAACAAATCCTGAGCTGTGCCGAAGTGGTGGGGGTGGGGGTGAAGGCGAGGGAGGAAAGGGGGGTGGGGCCGGGGGGAGACGAGGGAGCCACGGGGAGTCACCAGCGAGTTGCTGAGAGCACCTGTCAGTTTGGGGGACAGGACAGAGGCGAAGTCTCGAGGGTCCCGCGGAGCCAGCTCGAAGCCAAGTTGGCGGCCAGCAGTTTCAGATCAATAACAAAGCTGCCAATAGATGCTGCTCTCCCGGCGCCCCCTCCCCCGCCCCACCCCGCCCCCACCGCGGAGGGGGAGGGGAGAAGCCAGGCGAGGCCGCCGCGCCGGGTCCCCGGGGCCGCGAGGCAGGGGCCGGCCGGGGGTTGCCGCCGAGGCCGCCCGGGCGCGGGCTCCCGCTTCCCGGCCCGGCGCGCCGCCTGCGCTCGCTCCCGGCACCTGGCCGGAGGTTTCCGCGACCGAAGTTCACCTTGTCTGGGTGCGCCCCCCGCTCCTCGAAGCCCAGGGGCGGTCGGCAGCTCGGGGTCCCCACGGGGCTCCGGTCGCTCCCCGTGCCCTCCCCCCGCGCCTCGGGGCTCCGCGCGGCGTCTCGGCCCCGGCTGCAGAGAGAAGGCCGGGCGGCCCGAGGCGCCGGCGTGTCCCCTCCCCTTCCCCACCTTCCCCGGGCCGCCGGCTGTCGGGGGGAGGCGGGTGCGGGCCGCTGCCGCTGACGCCCGCGGGGGCCGCCGACCGGCGCTCCAACAGGTGCTGACACTCGCAGGGGCGCTGCGGCCCGGCCAGGAGTGCAACCGGGCGGCCCCCGGTTTCCTCTCCACAGGACGCCCGCACCCCCAAATAAAGAGCAAGGTGGGTGGCGAAGGGTGCTGCGAAAGCAAGACTAAGTGGGAAAGCACTTCCTTTCTGCATCCCTCCCTCTTTCCCCGCTCCCTGTGGCCGTGACTCGCCATTAATTTCCGAGGGGATCCCCATTCCCAAAGGGCTTGGCCGGAGTTACTGGACCGAGGGAACCGAGGGAAGGGAAGTTGAAAGTCAAAGACTTCCCGTCCAGTTTCCAGCTCTTTGAAGCGGAATGAAATAAAGCAAAAGTAGAGACCAATGGCCAAAATAAGAACATTCATTCATTTAACAAATACAGTCTGTGTTGAATGCCTACTGGGTCCAGCACTGTTTCAGGAGGTGAGGCAGTAGGGATGAAAGCACAAACATCTCTGTCCTCGTGAAGTTGCTAAATTACTATCAACCAAGCGCCATGGCAAGCAAATGAGAATGTCACCCAACCCCTTGTGAAATAAATCAGTGCAAACAATTCGACCAGGTACAGTGCCCCACAGGGGATTGGAAGAAAAGTAGAGCCTTAAGGCATAAGCTGAAATACCGGTGGAGTCCCAAAAGCCTCTTTTTAGGGCCAGGTTCTTCCTGGACCTGCAAGGCCATCTTCTAAGTATTAAGGAGAGCCGCCCGGTAAAAAGGATCCAAAGGTCCCTGAGCAGGGACGTATACAAACCAGGAGCAGACTTTTCCTCAGGGTGGAAATGCTAAGCTCTCTTCCTGTATTTGGATAAAGACTGAGACCAACCATCTCGACCTCTTTGCTTGTAATATACTAATCCTCTTCTTTTCCTCTTAAAATTCCACCAAGCCCGGTTTCTCTTTGAAAACTTCACACACCTACCCCATCTATTCTTACTCCTTTACCACTTCTATCTTGAGAGTGCAGGCTATCAGGGCACATAAAAAAGGCCCTGTTTTTGGCCTTAAAGAATTTAAGAGTTTAGAGGGCACATGGCTTGTTATTTTATTCACTTTTGCAGCACCTCAGCACCAAAATCCATATTTTCATCATAAATATGTTTCAAAAATGTTTTGTAGATTTGTGAGGCTCTGGGAGAGTGTTTCCAATTTTAATAGCAGAGTGAGCCTTGTTACATAAAAGACATGCTTTATGAATTCATTTTAATCTATCTGTAATAAAACTAATTACTCCCCAGTTTTTCTAATTTTGTAAGTTTTATTTTCTGATCATGACTTTCCTAAATGAGGCTGTTGTATGTCCATATAGCTCAGTTTCTTGACCACCCACATAGAGGGTATGTGTGCTTGTCTGCAGATTTAATCCATTTGCTGTCACAAGATTGTAAGGGTGATGACTACTCTTTATTTTGTATCATTTCATATTGGCTAGAACAGTGCCTGGCCCAAGGGAATAATAAATAAACACTCTTGACTGACTGACAGGTTTCTTTATTGGAGTCACTTATATTCTCCCTGGAATTTCAGCATGAAGGTTGTATTTGAAAAGTTACAGATGATCTAGAATAATGCTCTGCCTCTGTGTTTCACCTCATCCATATTCTACAGATTGATTTGACAATTGCCTTATAAATAAAGCCAGCCAGGTGCTCCTACATGACCCCTAGACAAAATCTCGTTCACATTGCCTGGCTTCCTTTCAATGTACTTGCCCTGTCTTTTCTTGAAATGTTCTTGCCCTTGGCGTAGCTCATTCTTTTAACACTTTATGCTCTGCCTGTCTTCCTGCTCAATTTTGCTTATAAACCTTTCCCAAGAAAGAGGGGTTCTTTGCATTGACAAGTAAATTTTATATAAATCAAAGTCTGCACAATTACTAAACAATATATTTTGAATCAATATGGCTTTGTTTTGGCCTAAGGCATTTTCCTTGAGGAAAGGCATCTGTTCTGCCAATAATTGCAAACATTCTTTGTGGTTTTCATGTTTTCTTAAACCTAAGGAAGGAGTATCCACTCTGGCTGAGTGCAGAAAGAATGTTACATACAAATTCCTGTTGAAGAACATGGTAGAATTCCCTTGGTTGTTCTATGATAATTTGGGGGAGGGACAGTGGGTATCACTACTAAATTGTTTTAAGTGAAATTAAGTTTTAAAGCATAATACCCATTTAGCTAGTCATTTAAACCCAGAAAGGCAGGAACCATGGGGACATATTTTGCCTCAGAAAATCAGGTATTTTAAAATTTCTTGCTCTCTCTTCTTCTGATTCAATCCTAACACACACACATATACACAAAGGAATACATGTGAACTTATTTTAAGACTTTCGCAGAACCTTTCAGCATTTTAATGACAGATAATCGAGCATGAATTTCTGACGTTTGAAAATCTCTGATCTACCTAAATGTCTACTGTTTCCAGAATAGCTAGCAAGCAGCACACACAGAGTTAAATGAGGCTGGAGGCTGAAGATAACATTAGTAAGCAAAGTAAATGTCCACAGATCACAACAGGAATAAGAACTATTCTAGGAAAAGAAAGAGAAAAAAAAAATTAGCTAAGTAGTCTCCCTTAGAGACATCCTTTTCTGTCTCCACTTTCTCCAGCTATCCTATCTTAAGAAACATATGACCTGCCGTCTCTAGATATCTAGGATGTATTAATACTCTGATTTTGCAACATAAAAATAATAAACACTTTTTTCTTATATTTTACTCTTCCACATAAGTCATCTTTACTTCCCATTGTAACAGCTGCTTATCTAAGAAAGGCTTGCTTCCTGTGGCATTCAGTCAAGGGTTGGACTAAGGTCCTGTTCTCAAAGGAGAAGAGGTACTTTCTAATTTACTTTTTTCGGGGAAGGGAGTTGGGAAGTAGGAAGTTAGAGGTATGCAGCCAAGAGAAACGGGTGACAAGGACTGGCCTTTAGATGGCCCACTGTGGCTTTTCCCATTAAAGAAAACCTGCTGTACCCTATTACAATCATGGTTGAGTATGCAAAGATTTTTTCAAAATCTCGGAAGTGCTTGTCTGACTCAGAGCTCAGAGGGAGTAAGTAGCCAGGAATAGCCCCAAAGAAAGAGGGGCCCTGGTAACCTTTAAACCACCACAACAAAAGATCATTTCACTGGTTGATGTGAAGACCATGAACTTAGTCTGGCTTTACAACTGGGATGAAGACTACAGCCCTGATCTAGAGACCCTTCTGGGCCCTTTTCTTTAAGGAAGAAATGTATTCTGGGTGATGTCTCAACCCTTTTCCTACTTTAGAATTCTTTGGTTCTCTGAGCAAACAGAGAATGATAACAACACTTTTTCAACTTAATCGTACTTCTGCGATTTAATACATGACTAGAAAAATAGTTTCCTTGTCTCCACTCAAAGGTATCTTGGTGGCTGGCAAGACATAATCAACATGTTTTTCTCCCTAAACTCATCCAGTTAAGGTAGTCCTCTTTTATATGTTACTATTATGATTTGGAAAGACAAGTTCTACTTGTTAACCAAAAAGAAGGGGAGAAAAAAAAGAGTTTGGAAATCCCTGACTAGGGCAATCATCAGGAATTTTATCAAATTGAAAGGAGCTAATAAATAATACGTGGGTTATCCACAATTTAATTCTTAATATTTGTTTAGTGTCATGGTAATGGCATCAAAATATTGAAAGTGTGGTCCCAAGGTGAAGAAAAATAGCAATAGTACAGATGTGAGTTGTAAATAAGGAAATAATATTGTTATTAGCCAAGAACAGGTGACCAATCTCCTAGCATTGTATAGAATCACACCAGTAGAATGTGAAACTATCTTGAGACCAAGGGGCATCCCCTGAATATGTGGACATCAACCAAACCTGATGCTTGGTCATATCCTCCAGTCAAAAAGATATCATTTTTCTCTGCCTTGCAATCATGTGTAGGATATGAAGGCTCTTGTCCGCGTTTTGACAAATCATAGTAAGAGGTCAAGACATAGCTACAGATCCCTCTTTCTCAGATAGTGACCCTCTTATCCCAAAGGTCATGGGAGAAGAGCCCTTTCACTTTGTGATCATTGTTCTAAATGCAGTCCTTTCCTTGGCTACTAGCCTTTGTGAACGAGGTGGATAGCCTCAGCACACTACTTAATGAATGTTTAAGAAGTGTTGTTGGTTGGTAGAAAAGAAAATACGGCTTAACTAATCTTATACTGAAAGAATCCTCAATTGCTTTTGAAGTCCAAGATAGTTCAAGAGATTTTCATCCTCCACCCCTATTGTGATTATTGCTGTTTGCTGTCTTTACAATCTTTATAGTGAAAAAAAGTGCTTCTATCCTAAAACAGCCTTGGCAACATGTTAAGGCAGTGTTTTATTTTCCCAAATTTTTGTTTTTATCAGCACAATTTGCTTTGATATTTTCTCCATCTTCTTAAACCACCTTCTCTCCTTTCTCAACATCTCTATCTTCTTTCACTTGCCCTCCATGAAATTAGGAGGGTGAAAACATGTTTTCCTCTTGCAGGCAGCTCAAAAGATTCACAGTTTAAGGCCAACCAAGAAAAATTAAAATAAGGGGAGAATTATTCATGTCCAAATTGACTTTTTGAAGCACCTGTCATCTCCCCAGAACTGTTAGATACCTCAAGGTATATTTTCTCATTTAAACTTCCCACACAATCCTTTGAGGAAGGTCAGTTTCCCCATCTTACTGCAGAGAAACTGCAACTCAAAGAGGAGAATTAATCTTCCCGGAGTCATACTGTTAATAACAGGTATAGTTAATGCTAGACTCAAGCTTTTCCCCTTCTCTTCCTGTGTTTTTAATTTGACACTTTTGGGCTCTGGATTTTGAACAACAGCATTCTTATCTGCAGCTTTCTTACGTTTCCCTCTAAGTTTTCTTCACAACGACTGCCTTCCCTTCTGTTCAATTTGAGGTGCACTGTGGGATGTGTAGATGGATTTTCCCGCATGCTTGAGAACACTAATACGACACTAGACAGCTATCTTTCTGGAACAGCCTAAATAAAAGATTTGAGCCAGAGTGAATCTGGGTTACTTGCCACAGTGGTGGTGACTAAGGCTTCAAAAAGCTGGTCTTGGGGTTGAAGCCCACCCAAAGCGTGGGCTAGCATGAGTATCCTGTTTATCCGGGCCAAAATTACTCACCCAGCAAATGCCTTAGCCTAGACCATCTGTGGACAGTTATTTCAAAGAATCTATCTCCTTGTCTTTGAGGACAAAGGGAATGAATTACTCCTTTCCTACTTAGGATTGCTACCGAATTAAAACATCAGGGCAAGGCAGAAATACACTGCTTTCTGAGTTGCTACCTTTGAAGAATCAATTTATGATTAACTATAGATGTCAGAGTCTAGGCCTCTCTCACACAATTTCTATAAGTATCCCTCCATATGTTTCTAATTTAAAACTCCTGGTCTATGAGATTTTTTTTTTTAAAGCCTTTGAGCGAGGCAAATATAAATCTTCATTGATAATTTTACAAAGGTATTTTCAGATTGGTTGGAGTTTTTCAAGGCACAAAGACTGCTACATGAACTAACTAGTGACTTATT